TCCCTACACACCCTAGCTTTACAACGCTACTTCCATCTCCTTCCTCCTCCTTCCTCCTGTTGGCTGTTCTCTGTGCACTCATGCTCATCCCTCACTGCAAAAGGGTAGCTACAGCTTTCCTTTGCTTTATGCTGTACTTGCGCTCCTGGAAAACGGAGCGTCACTTGAATTTGCATAAAAGGAACCCACTTTACAATGTAACAAATAGGGCTACGTTCCAAGACCTTGACTGTCCTGACCCCCAGGCCCATTTCTACCACATTTACAGGAAAATGTTGGTACTCCCCAACAGCAGACAGTGCACACAAGCACAGGGCACTATTATAACGGGGATGGCAACAACAGAAACACGTGTCGCAGACAACGAGCGAGGAGCGCAGATGCACACGGGAGGCTATATTTTGGTGCGTGTCACTCCCACAATGCACCACACAAAGCAGCTGCTTAAGTTCTGCCATTCATATTCTTGCTAAGCTTAAACAAGTCACTTGAGTGCCCTTTGACTCGGTTTTTACATCTGTAAAATGGGGGTAATGCTAATGGTGTGAGATAGGCACCATTTTTCAACTGGTTTTTTTAATGCAAATTTAGAGAGATAAGCTTCTTTTTTTTTCCTTTTAAAAGGTAACATTTTAGTTTTATTGTTTCTTTTGATGGGTACACTCCACTTCAAAGGTCACATATGGAGCAAAACTACTTAAGATGTTAAAAATGGACTGATATCTCTAATAAAACCTCCCGAGTCCATCAGAACTAACAGCTATATCCTCTGATCAATGCCTCCTTCAGAAAAGCCTGGAAAAGCAAATCAGTCTTGAACAGTGTGCTGCAGCAAATCAAAAGTAAAGGGTACAAGTTGCAAAATTGAGGAGATTTCAGTGCACAGTAGCCACTTCCCAAAGAAAAAGGGAAGCTGTTACTTCAAGCCCGAGCACTGAAATCGCACATGGGTTCTATGAAGAGCCAGAACCCCAGACATTTCAAAAATTATAAGGACAATTTTTGAATTATACCCCTTTATAATATAATCCAGAGAAGCAGAACCAGGAAAGAGAAAGTCATACTCTACCTCAGCTGCTTCCGAGCAAACGGGTCCAAACAGGGCTGACACGTTCTCCTTCTGGACCTGGTCAATGAAAGCATTAAGGGACTTCTTGGCATCACAGCCACAATCAGCATAGACAAAATCCAGGATGAAGTTACCTAAGTAAGATGGGTCTGAATTAACGGTACTGATGGCAATCTGAATAGCTGAACTCAGCTTTTGAGCACTCAAGGCATGCGAGGCATTGCAAGGGGCCTGAAATGCTACAGTTATCTTAAAGGTTTTGTTCAGCCCACTAACTATAGCATCAGTAAAAACTGCAGCCATAAGTGTTACCGCTGCAGAATTGCAGAGAGGGGAAAAATTCAGACTGTGCCTGAGTACATAATAAGGAGCTAGCCTGAGATCCATGCTGCCCCTTCACCTGTACTACTATTAGCACTTCAGTGATTTCGCTCTTCCTTTCATTGCTCTTTGTATTATTACCAGCTTCTTTGCTGGTGGCGTAATTTTAATTAAACCATGCTAATTAAGTGAACCTCATTCTCCAGAGCATTTCCCATTTTAACCCTTTTGTTAGCATCCTTACTTTTGATTTTAGTGCTACAAGGCAGGTCTGTTCAAATATCACGCAGCTTTTTTGTCTCCTGTATATCTTACCAGGCTCTGACGGACCTGGGAAACAAATGTGCATGTCTAATAGAGCATAATCCTATCTGTAAGTAGGAAAGAAGGACGTTAGTAATTCTAAAAGCAAGGAGTGTGCATGTCTCGCTGCTCACTGTTACTGTCTTCCTCCTTCCCCTTCCTTTGTTACGGATAGATGTTACCTTCTTTGGGACAGAGACCCTGTATAGTCCATGAGTTTTAATATATATAGCACATCTTTGGGCACTCTAGAAGTAATCAACACAGTTTAGAAATGAAATGAATTGGTTGGGGAGCGGGGGAGCAGGGGGAATGGGAAAACAGTTCTCTCACATTTTTACCCTCTTCTCCAACTCCCATTGGGGTTTGAGGGAACAAAATTTCAACATGCTCAGAATATTTCCAGCAGCCCTAAGGAATGAATGTGCATGATGCTGAGAGTGTAGGTTGTAGCCGTGTTGCTCTAAAGACATAGGCAGACAAGGTTCTTTGGGTGAATTTGAAATCTTTTATTAGAGCAACTTAAATAGTTGGGAAAAAAAATTTCTTAGCAAGCTTTCAGGTTTAAAAACCCTTCATCAGGCTGAGGAAACCTCTGCAGTTGGTGTGTGCTCTTCCTGGATGGTCTAATAAAAGAGCTCAGATTCCCCCGAAGAACCTTGTCTGCCTGTGATGCTGCGAGGCGTTTTATCTACAGCACAAAAGCTGGACGTGCTGACATAGGTGAGACACCTTTGCAATTGGAGCAACCATCATACTAGCAAGGGAACAGCTTGATGGGGACACTCATTCTATGCCCAACGGAGGATTGGCATCTAGTTGATTACTGTGGAGGCTGGTGTTCAGTCTCCAAAAAAGTTCAAGCGGTTGGGAAGTTCAGGCCTCTCTAACTGCTCCACCAGTGAACAGGTGTGCTTGTATCTGGGGGCAGAAGGATTTTCCAAGTGAACCCATAGGCGTTACTCTCTCCCCTCTCACCTGATGTTAGAGGGCACTGTGCCATTATTAGGAAAAGATACAAAACTATTATCTCACCACCAAGTTTTCTACTCAGACCAATCTCTAGTGTTTGGCTGTGAAACTTTTAAGTGAGCTCACAAGTGCGCAAAGGTCACTAAATAATCTGGACTGAACAAATTGCTTTCTTGCTTACATACAAACAGGGTGCTGAGAGAGTTGGCTGATGCGATTGCAGAGCTGCTGGCCATTATCTTTGAAAACTCATGGCAGTTGGGAGAGGTCCCAGATGATTGGAAAAGGGCAAATATAGTGCCCATCTTTAAGACATGGAAAAAGGAGGATCCAGGGAACTACAGACCAGTCAGCCTTACATCAGTCCCTGGAAAAACCATGGAGCAGGTCCTCAAGGAATCCATTTCTAAGCACTTGGAGGAGAAGAAGGTGATTGGGAACAGTTAGCATGGATTTACCAAGGGCAAGTGAGGCATGACCAACCTGATTGCCTTCTATGATGAGGTAACTGGCTCTGTGGATGCAGGGAACACAATGGACATGATCTACCTTGACTTTAGCAAGGCTTTTGATACAGTTTCCCACATCCTTGCAGGCCAGCTAAGGAAGTAGGGGTTGGATGAATGGACTGTAAGGTGGACAGAAAGCTGGCTCAATGGTTCGATGTCTAGTTGGCAGTTGGTATCAAGTAGAGTGCCCCAGGGGTCAGTCCTGGGGCCTGTTTTGTTCAATATCTAAATTAATGATCTAGAAGATGAGATGGGCTGCACCCTCAACAAGTTTGCCATGACACAAAGCTGGGGGTGTAGTAGATATGCTAGGATAGGGGAGAGCTAGGATTCAGAGAGACCTAGGCAAATTGGAGGACTGGACCAAAAGAAATCTCATGAGGTTCAACAAGGACAAGTGCAAAGTCCTGCACTTAGGACAGAATGATCCCATGCACCGGTACAGGCTGGGCACCGATCGGCTAAGCAGCAGCTCAGCAGAAAAGGACCTGGGGGTTACAGTGGACAGTAAGCTGAATACGAGTCAACAGTGTGCCCTTGTTACCAAGAAGGCTAACAGCACCCTGGGCTGCGTTGGTAGGAGTGTTGCCGATTGAGGGAAGTGATTATGCCCCTCTATTCTGCACTGGTGAATTTTCACATCTGGAGAACTGTGTTGTTTTGCTTCAGCAGTGAATAGAAAGGATAGGCAAACTATAGAAAGGATATGGACAAATTGGAGAGAGTCCATCAGAAGGTAACAAAAATGGTTAGGAGGCTGGGGCACATGACTTCTGAGAAAAACAGGGGAAACTAGTCTTATTTACTCTGCAGAAGAGAAGACTGAGGGGGGATTGACTAGCAGCCTTCAACTCCCTGAAGGGGGTTACAAAGAGGATGGAGCTGGACTGTTCTCAGCGGTGGCAGGTGACAGAACAAGGAGCAATGGGCTGAAGTTGCAGCAAGGGAAGTTTAGGTTGGATATTAGGAAAAACTCTCTCACTAGGAAGGTGGTGAAGCACTGGAATGGGTTACCTAGAGAGGTTGAGAAATGTCCATCCTTGGAGGTTTTTAAGGCCCAGATTGACAAAGCCCTGGCTGGGATGATCTAGCTGGGCACGGTGTTGCTTTGAGCAGGGAGTTGAACTAGATGTGACCTCCTGAGGTCCCTTCCAACCCTAACTTTCTATGATTCTATAATTCTGATGTGTATTGTATCTTCTGCACTCTTGGGGAGGTTAGATCAAGTTAAAAATGACTACTCAATCTAAGATAAATTAGGATAGCAGGAGGCAGTGGTGGGGGGGGTCCATAGAGGGGATCGGAGGCTAACAGAGTCTGCAGGGGGGGTGGTCATCAGGTTTGGAGGAGAAAGTGGAGTCTGCGGGAGGGAATGTGGGGGGATCAGTATGGCAAGCAGGGTTAATGCGGGGCTTGGAAGGATAGGGGGGTTGGTGGGGCCTGGGAGGATCAGGGGGGTTCCCAAGGTCTGTGGGGGCCTCTCGCCCCAGGGCTTATTTTTTAGTCCACAACCACCCCCCCCACCCCACACACACTTCTAGATGAACAGCCCCCAAACTGAACCTACCCTCCTGCTCCACTCCCTACCCCGACTAACTTCCATCAGCTCCCATCACTGGAAGCAGGTTGCAGGATGGGCTCAGGGTGGGGGCTGGCTGGTCCGTGGAGGGATGGGGTTGTCCATCTGGGGGGCACACTGAGCAGTGCTGAGCTTTGAGGACACTGTGGCTTGAAATGTTGCTGATTCTGGTGGGGCCCAGCCCAATGAACTATGTAGCAAATCACGAGACTTCGGTAGCACATATATTAAAATTGGACTAATATCATGCATAGTTTGGACTGCATATAAGTAGTACAGCCAAAGCACTGTTCAAAAGTGTGTTTATGCAATATCTGTGCTAGAACTTGCTGCAGTTTCCAAAAAAAAAAAAGAAGGTAACATGCATCAATTCTGGATGAACAAAATGCATGGGTATTATATGCAAATTGCTACAGCCGTGTTTAATTTCAAGGTTATTGTTTTCAAATTTGCTCCTCATTTCCATGTGCTCAGGGAAAGCAGGGTCTGACAGTAAGGAAGGAGGGGCTGCCAGGGGGAAAAGTTGGGAGAAAGCAGCAAGCTAAGGGCTAACTGACTCCTCAGATATATTTTCCCTGCTGTAGCACTGGGAGGGGGACAAATTTAAACTATACTTCCAATAATTAGATTCTATACCTGGAAAATTATAATGCATTTATACATTTTCCATATACAGAATCTAATTACTGGGGGCGGGGTGGGGGGTGTTGTCTTATAATCAGGGTCATCTTCTATTTGAGTAAATATGGTAAGTTAGATCTAACCCATCCCTAACCTGTATGTACCCTAAATTAGCCTAACCTGGGGGTATATTTAACCTAGATCAGGTTGGCCATTTTCAGACTGATCTAATCTTCCTGAACTTTTGTACAGTTTTTACTTAGATCCTTAGTTAGGTCAAGCTAGGCATAAGATCCGCACCTGGGAGAACTAAGTTAGATCATGTGGCTGTTCTTAACATGATCTAACCTCCTCAAATGTCTGTACCTAGCCTTACATTCTGCTTATGTTTTCTTATACAGGTTTATTTTACAATTTCTGCACAGCACTGTATCAGTCATTAGACCTTAGTCACAGACTTGGGACTTGATTTTTATTTTGCTACACTGGAGTTGCATTATACCCTGTTTTAATGCACAACTGGCCTTTGTCAGGAAACAGAATACTCTTGGGTAATGCAGGGAATCAGATTTACTCACACATAATGAAATTGTCTTTGGCTTTTATAGAGCAACTTATATTTACAAAGAGATATCTGTTCTGGAACTGACCTTAAGACTTTTGAGGAAATAGTCAGGACAGGTTTTAGTACCTCATTAATCCCTTTAAGTTTGTTTTTTTTTAACTATGTCTACAGCCTCTATTACTCTGATCATTGGCCCTAGTGTTGCACAACTCCATGAGCTATGTGTATTAGCAAAGATGAGCTTTAACCCAAACAATCAGTAAAATATAAAGACAATTTCCAGTTAAAACTACAAGATACAATACCCTAAGGATGCCCCCAGGTTTCTTAGCAAATGCGATACATTTTCTTATATTTCTTTTCTATTCAAAGCAACCTGATTTCCTCCCCACAAAAATCCCTGCTCATCAGAACAAAATCATTTTCCTGGAAATGCAGGGCTTCACCACTTATGCATATGCTTAACTTCAAGCACATTGGTAATCCCTTTGATTTCCCTGAAACCACTCATGCAGGTAAAGTTCAGTACACGCATAAGCACTAGTAGTCTCATGGCAATTCTTTTTAGCTATTCTTCGCAACTCCAACCTCCACTAACTCATAAAACGTATTAATAATAATAGAGGCAAACTCATTCCATCAGCAAAGTGTACTAAAATCAATTAACTTACCCCTAAATTGTGTGGTGGTCCAGCACCTCTACTTCACCTGGTAGCAAGCAGGTCATTGGAAAATCAAGCTGATGAGTTCCAGTGGAATTGGAGACCTTGGAGATACTGTAAGTTCTTTGAGAGTGATCTTTTCTGGCAACAGCTGCATGCATGCAGATGATCATATTGCACATAAATTCAGCAATAACTTGCATGTTCACTCTATTAATCAGGCAGAGAAAAATTGCTTATAACTTTAGGCCATAAGACAGGTCAAGATCAGTAAGAGCTAAAATCTGCCAGGTCTGTGGAAAACACCAGTGTGTATCAGACCATGTGAAATCCAGTCAAGAATAGCCTGGCATGGCCAGAATCGGTACAACCTGGATAGCTGATAGAAAAGCATGTAGCACTGTACAACCAGAACATAACTCGAAAGATAGGTAGGAATGATGTACTTAAATATGTTCATTAATCAGACAAATGGAAGGTGCACAACACCAAACATGACTGACCATGTGTGGGCAGTAATGCAGACCTGATGTAAGCACTTCTCATTATAAAAAGTGTAGAACAGAAATGCACTTTGGATTGAAATGTGCACTGAATGATCCCTACTGTCAGCCAGTTTGATCACCTGGTTGATAGCATGAATAAAGGCTGCACTAAGTTTATACTCTCTAAATAATTGTGGCATGCTTATTTAAACAGTGTTGTAGTAGGAGGTAGCAGGTCATGAGAAGCAACAGGAATAACATGTTCTATGGGAACCATGTCATTTCAAACAGTTTCGAAAATCAGCTCCTAATAAGCATGCAATATAGGTTACGGGTCATCAGCGTTAGGGAGCACCAGTCCCATAAACTGGAAATCAGGCTTTTTCTTTTTGCAATATTTTCCTGGGCTGCAGCATGTGCTTAGCATTGTTAAATACAGATATTTTGATCCAACAAAAGTGTTCCTTTATGAGAAGTCTGGTTATTTCACCTCTAGCAAACTGTACTTAGCTGCTCTCTTCCTTTGTGATTACTTCATGAGAACAAAGCCTGAATAATTCATGAGTATTAATTCAATAACTTTATGAAACCCACCTGCCTACATATTCAGCTTCTAAATCCACATTTCGGCACTATAAGAAGAGCAACTTCGGTGGGATTTGTTGCTTCCTAGTACCTTTGAAAACAGGGGAATTTTTATTTCTGGTGCTATAGTGTTTATAGTAAAACCTAATATTAAGTTAAGAAATCAAGTTCTCATTGCATGATCCTGTGACAGTAATCTCATAAGCTTTTGAAAGCAATCCTCACTGTTTCAGCCCAGACATCATTTACTAAGGGTATAGGATCTGCTCCAAAGCTTTTTTTAAATCAGCAGCTGTGAATAAAGTTATTGAAGTAAATCCCAGCAAGTACTAAGCCCTTGCACCTTTTGTTAGGTCAAATCCTGAACTTCTTAAATTCACTCAGGCAAAACACCAGTGGATTTACTGTCAAGAGCTTGGCTCAAGGACAGAATAAAGATAATGTTTGTGGCACCTTTAAGTGCTCTAGGGCTTTCAGACTCTGCCAAATTCAATAGAAGGAGATAATTTAAGTGAATATATAAAGTTTGGCAGTTATGAAAAAACTTCCTTCTCATCGTTTTTTTGGTGCTGTACCTTCACTGGTACCAGTGGCATTATTCCCAGTTTGCAGCAGTTTAAAAGAGAAGGGAGATCTATTCTTAAATATTAAGTGGCCTAAACAAAATTCCCAGATCTGAACAACCCAGGTCTTTGGATCCAGATTTGGATCTAAAATTCAAAGCTAGATTTGTTTTACTTAGGCTAAGCTAATGTAGGGATGTCGACATCTCTATTATAATGAGCTTGCTGCAAGATACTTGGACAGAAGTGACTATCACAAAATTTACAGTGATATGAAAACATTTTGAAACACTCCAGATGGTCTTTAAACCTTCCTCATCTAAATATTGCACACATGGATATTGCTCCCTTTGAACGCTGGCCTTTTATCATCAGCAAATGGTCTCAAAGTCTACACGTGGAAGAGACTTGCTTCTACTTTAATATTCAGTGTGTGTGGTCAATGACCAAGATCCCTTTCACACCTGGTTACACCTATCCCTCCTGGGCATGCCAGGGGTTTTCACCTCACTGTGGAAGCTTTCAGCACATAACACCTTCCCTGATGACGGTGGATGAGTGAGTTTAAGAGGAATCAAGGCAACACAGTCAAGCCACATGTTAGCACTCAACAACAACAGCAACAACAAAAAAGAAAAGAAATCAAAGATTGTGTACCTTCGAAGTCTAAGCACAGACTTCCCATGATGGCATAACGTATCCTCATTTGCAACTTGGTGCAATCTTCCCCGACAGCTGCAGATTGGACCTGAACACATTGCTCCTGGCAGCAGCTTTGCCTGCCTGCTTTCAGATGTCACCAGTCTAATTTCAGCTCTTCTGCTGTTCCTAATGGGATACAAAGCAATGGATAGAAGAATTTCATTTTCACTGAGTCTGGCAAGCATGTTCTTGATGGCCACTTGGCTGTCTCTCAGCTAGTGTTATACTCGCTGGCTTTGTGATACGGATGAGTTCTGTTTGATGAAGATTAAGCAAAGACTATCACAATCCCTTTCTCTTCTTATCAGTGATTCAACACCAGAAAAAATATATTTTTACTCGGCAGAAGATCTAGTCTTTTGGAGACAAATGCTGATATCATTTATGTCACTCAAAGTCCAGAGTAATGTTCTCTATTTCCTGATTAAAGTCAAAGGAGTTATTTTTCAGATACACTGGTAGAATTAAGACTAGAATTTTACTGATGAGGAGTATATCAGAGACATTTCAGCTCCTGCCTGATGATTCACTACTACTGCCAGTTCCCAGCCATGCAGTCTTCACTTAACTCTAGTGACACCTTAAGAAGCTGTTGCATCTTGTTCGTTTGAAGCCACGTAGCCTGGTTTATTGATCCTCTAAGTAGAAGACCTCAAGAGATCGCCTTACGAGGACAATGGAAAGATGCTCAACATTAGCATGGGGACACAAAGGGTCAATCCAACAGGAGAAGCTCCAATTTTATACGACAGCATTGCTAGTCATCAACCAGATCATATCACTGCAGCTAAGAAGGTGGACTTGTGCACACAAGGCACCTGTAAACATTCAAATGTGTAAAGTCTAATTGACGTGGGCAATTTAATTACACGTGTTTCTTTTTTATGAGATGGATTTGTTGTAGTGGTGGTATGACAATTATGAAATACTGGTATTATATCATGATTAAAGGCAGCGTTATCACTTAAGTCAACACAGAGTTTTTTAATCATTTAATAGCCACTTGTATTTGCAGAGATTTCATAAGACTACTAAAGAAAAAGCTAAAGCAATGTACCTTCTTATACATTACTTGATCAAGCTTCAGCCATATATGCTCCAATTATAATGTTAGAGGTTCATAGAGTTTTTCTAAATTGAGCTCAGCTTCACAAGGTGGCTTTGGATCAGCATGTGATGGCACTCCATTGTTACGGATTCTTTCATAACTCATATTCATAGTAAATACATATCCAATGTATTCAATACCAGAGTTGGAAAAAAACCCATGGAAGATGCATTTATTTTGATCCTGACATGCAGTTTCTTCAACAATGCTCTCATTTCTTTGGGCACGTGTTAAAAGAAGATGGCGAAAAGTCCTATTAATACTGGAGAAGAAACATTTAAAAAAAAATATCATGATCTCCACAGATTCCTCTCAAAAAACACAGAGATATATTTATTGAAAGGCTTACTGATGACATATCATCTTTAATCGATCAATCATTTGATTCAGGTTTATTGCTGCTTCTCTTTTACCTCATAACTTTCTGTTTTGAAAGTTTAAGCAACGTGCATTCAGATAAAATGAGTGTTAAGTGGCTTTTACCTTTCCAATCGTAGGACAGAAGCTAGATGCTTACAAATTTAAAGTTCAGCTCACAAAATACAGTCCCAAGGGCTAGGTGCAGTCATTCAAAAAGGCCAAGGAGGAATCGATTTAAATTACGCGGTTTTCTGTAAGCAGTATAGTTTCAATCGGAAGTGAACAGAACACACGTTCGCCCTTTGGTGCGGGAAAGCAAATCTAAGACTGGGTTCTGCCATTTTTAAATCAATCTGTGTGCACGCAACTTCTGTCCTGTTATGGGCATAGTTTAGTTTCTGGGCTGCTTAATTGCTGGGCCAATTATTAAAACTAGCCTGGAGAACTTGAGGTTCTAGCCCCAGGCAGCTGGCATAACTGGACTGCCTGGTAATCACGACCCAAATGCCAGGGCTCCCAGGCTTTCCAGGTTCTCAAGCCTCAATTAGGTCACTAATTTCAAGACTGCTTACACCGCAGAATCCAGGTAAGGTGGCATGAAATCATGCAGGTTTCTCTCTATGGGCATATCCCCATATGTGGGGGCATGCATTTGCTACAGCACAAATAGCAGCACAGATTTATACTGCTGCTTTTTGCCACTGTACACACCCCTGCATGTGTGCACAGCAAAATGCCCCACTTCAGGGAAACTTGATACCCTGCTCTCCCCAGCTCCTGGGGTATTGGAGGAGCTGGGGGACGCCTAAAGCAGTGGAGATGCATTGGCTGGCAGCCAAAGTGCCTTCTTGGAGGACCTAGCCTCCAGTTGCTCCAGCCCATGCTTGTATTTTTTTAGCAGGTTTGCGGGGTTTTTTATACTGGGAGTTCTCAGTGTCGATTTTTGACACCATGCTGCAAATTTGCAGCACAGCAAACAGTTGCATGTGCGCCACGTGTGGCTTGCAGTGCCCCAAACAGTTTTCAGTTGCCGCAAACTGCACATGCGTGTGTCTGGACGCACCCTGCGGTTTCTCAGGAGTTTGTTGAAACAGGTGCTCTTTCAAAACATTTTGGGATTGGACGCATCAGCACGTTCCAAGGCTCGTTTCATAAACAGATTTCCAACCAGCTCACCTCCAAAGCACTTGAGTCAGTTTTGAAAATAGGGATTAGACATATTAAAAGAGTTTAGCCTATCTTCTGTCACATATTGCACGCATAAGAGTTGAGTGCTTGCTCGGAGGACACAACCACCAGCTAAGGCACACTCTGACACAACGAGGTATATGTAATAGTGCGCACAAAAGACTCCGCATTGTAGAATAAAAGCACAAGCGTCTTCCGTTGTTTGCAGGCAGGTTTTTTTCATCCTGTTTGCAAACCGGGAACTGAAAAAAAATCTGTGTTAATAATTCAGCTAAACAGTTAATTAGGTAAGGACATAACCTATATGATTAAGAGATGAGAAATGTACAGTTCCAAATTACTTAGGCCACCGTGGCCTTGTTCAATAGGAAACTAATCAATGGTATATGTCTGCCATAAGACAAGTGTGAGTAAGTGTAAGGTGGTGATAAAGTAAAGCGGTTTGTATTGATTTGGGCTTTAATAGATGTACAGAAGGGCAGTCATTTACATGCCAGAGTTGAACAGGGTGTAGAAGGAAATGCAATTTCTAAGGTAAAGAGCATGTGTATGCATTGGATAGGCAACTTGTTTTATCTGATGTCCTCCTGCTATTGCTTTTTCCATTACATGGAAGTGAGGTATAGGGGGGAGTGTGTAAGATAACTTCAGACTCCAAATAGTTTGCCAGATCACTATAACTCCTCTGAAGTTGAGGAGCTCTTCCACTTCTAACCGCAGCACATCTGGACAATTCAGAACTGTGTGCACCCATTGAATACCACATAACAGTGTAGACTACATAAATTTGCCTCTTGCATCGCCACATATAAGTGAGGATCAGCCACTATCATATCTGTATGGGTGTTTTAGGAAATGCTATCCAAGACCTTAAGTGGAAAAAGGATTAATATTCACTAATTGACTTGGTTTAGAAATGGTTATAGGGTGACAACTCTGATTTCAGCAGCAGTCTTGAAATCAGGCCTTAGTCAACAAGATCTCCATTACCCTCTACCCAGTACTCTCGACCCACTGAAACTAATCTAGCACAAAGGCTTACTATCTCGTATAACATTGCTATTGCCAAGTCAGTGCTGAAATCAGTGATCAAAAGGAAGCTGTGCCTGAGTAAGAACTTCAGGATATGGGTCACGCTATTCCCCGAGTGCCAGGCAGAGAGAGTGACTCACTCAGGGTCAACACAGGGATCCTGGCAAAAATTGAATCCAAGTCTCCTGTGCCCCAGGCTAGTGACCATCCATCCTTTACACTATAAGCCAGTGACAAAAGTGGTCCCCTCACACACCTGGATAAAATTATCCATGGAGCTGCTAGTCCTAAGCTTCTCACTGCAGCCAGGCCTCCTCCACTTCCCCAGAATCCCGATTGGAGGGGATGAAGGAGGGAGGCCAGGGAGGATTGACACTGCCCCCCTGATAATAGTAACGCACAGGCTTCGCTCCAGAGGAGGCCTGCCCCTCTGCAAAGTTCAGAGCAATATATGCCCACCATGCTTATGCCTCTCCCTCACTTCATTGCAACGGAGAAGCTATTATAATCTGGCTGCCCATTACAAGTGTGATATAAGAGGACCCAGTCTCAATGAAATCTTCCTCATAAAATATCCCAAGCCCTCAAGACAAAGGAAAGCCCTAATGAAACACCAAGCGTGCAGCTTTCTCTGGGCTGGCGTTAACTTTATAAGGAGTGCTTTTCCTTTGTACAGCCATTGCGTAAGCACCCAACGTTTAAGCTTTTGCTGCATTGACATTTCTAGCCAGTCAAAGTTACTCTTCATATTGATTAGGTATATTTTTTTTACCTTTGAGCCTGTTGCAATGTAGGCGCAAAGGTTACCTCCGTGCATTGGAGCCCAGTTTATTAAAACAGCGTAGCTGATGGTCTAAGCAGCAGTCCTGTCACATGCACTGCCTGTGAAAACAAGCCTTGAACGTTCACTACGAGCTGCACAGGAAGCCAAAAGGATATAAACATTGACCCACAGACCGTCGCCTTCTAGTGGGAAGTAAGGTAAGCTTTGTGATTTCCTCTTTGGAACATAGGGATGTGGAATAACTAGCTTGCCATTCCCGTAGGGAAGTATTTCAGTAGCTTGCAGTATATGTCATTAAAAGCAATAGCTTGGCCACTGATCATGTACTTAAACTTATGTTAAGTTTATGTCCTTAGTTAAGACTAAGTTTGAGGGAGAGCTATAAAATGAGCTACCCCTGCACTGCCTATTTGAATAAGAAGCCTGATTCCCATGTGTGAAAGCTGTTCTCTTAGCTGTTTGATTCTTATATCTAGTCTGAAGTGCATAATGTGCTCCCATTCAGATTCAGCTTCAACTCAACCTGCTTATAAACCAACCCCTGTTGCTCTTCCTGTGATGCATAAGCATTCAGGACTGCGAGATTTTTCAGTGCAGCGATAGATACATAGATCTGGCTAAATCATTTAAGGAAAAAACAGCAGCATGTGTTACAATTCCCTGATCTCTCACACTAGGATTTCTATTACAAATATACACAGAAACAAAGTCAC